CGAGGAGGAGGAATGAAGAATAATCAGAATGCTGATATACAGAAAGGTGAGTAGTATGTTGAGACTGAGGAGCAAGAGAATAATTATTTTACTTTAAATAAGATCTATTGCCTTGCGCGGATGCTCTAAAATGATAAAAACAACAATGCATGCAAAAGAAGGTAAGAAAGAGGCTTCAATTGGCAGTTATCGCGGGACGCCCTTCTTTCTGTGGATGCACCGCAGTTTCGGCCTCATTTGCGATCAAACTATGGGACGTGACAGCTCGACGACAAGCTGTCTGCACAATAGATATTGTAGCGTTCTTGAGGAGTGAGTGTGAAGCAACCTTCCGCCACTTGGCGTCCGTCTCGGAGTGGCAAGAGTCAGTCTTTCGACGAGAAACCCATCACAACGTGGCCACTTCAGAGCTCCAGTTGCCAACCGAGGCGTAGACCAGCAACCAACGACCGGGCGGTTTCCAGATCTGCACAGTAAATACCGACTTGCTCTTCCTCATCTTCACAGTTGGGCAGTGATAATCTCTTCTTTTCGCTCTATCGATAGATAGACAGATAGACAGATAGACATAGAACCTACAGTTAATCGCTTGTGATGAAAATCTATAGGCATAAAAAGAGGAATAGAATTAGTTCAAAGATAGCAAGTTGAATAGACAGATGCATAATTGTATAGTTACAATTAAAGCAAAATAAATTGATGGACTGATGTAATAGCTGACGTAAAGATATATGTACATACATGAGGATATGTACATTGCTAGGTTGCAGAGTGAAAACTATTCAAGAACTGTAATATCCTATTTGGTCTGAGGTTATGAACGACTAGATGTTCCATTTTCCCTACATTTCCATTGCATTACACAAAGCTTTATTTCCCAAAAATGAATTCTTCTCCGCACCCCAGCGGGACTTGAACCCTTGTTTTTGGTGGTGCAGCGTATTGTTTTGACACATTAAACACTACTTCTTTCACGAAGTTGGAAGTAGTCATTTCTATTATAATGAAAAATACAACTGTGCTTCATACACAATCCTACCAATGAAAGTGAAATGGGAAAGGCCCAGCTTTCCTTGAAATTCTAGATTACATGTGACACCATCACAAAGCTTTATTTCCCCAAAAAGAATTCTCCTCTCGCCTGAAGTCGACTGCACCTTCAACCTGGCCTGAATTTATCTCATCTTTCCATCCCTGCGGGACTCGAACCTGGCCTTTGGTAGGGCGGCCTAGTCTCTGACATGTTGAGCTTACATGCTGAACTGTCATGATTCGACTTGCGCTTGCGAGGGCGAAATGCAGTCTACTCCAACTGGGAGGAAAATAGCTTTCGGGGAGCGAGTTTATGTGAAATTCCATGGTTGTGGGAAAAATCAACTTTCAGTCCTTCTTCGCCTTAAACGAAATAGTGTGAATATCACTCCTCATGCAACGATACAGCTATAGTGACAGTTAGGTAGATGGATAGTTCGAAGTACAGCTATACAAAGGTGTGGTTACTGACTCGTCATTCTATCAGGCCGACAGGAAGTCTTGCCACGTAGCTCTGAGCGTTATGCCATTCTTAACTCGTTGAGGCCAAACAACGCAAGAAGTAGTATGACTGTGGTTGCATAATCCTCAACATGGTTGTGAGGAGCGGCGATGGGAGACATCCGCAAGCCGACAAATTGACTCGTTTTTCTTTTATCTGCACCTCTCTCCTCAAGTCTATCATACAATCAACCTTCTAATATGAAGTGTGGTCTCGAAAACCTACTTGTAAACAAAGAACAGCTTATTCACATTTGACACATTTCCCAATCTATCCATTCACAATCAGCAAACCGATGCGATTAAAACCATTCTATCTCGTGTCCGGTTTCTGATACATGTACACACACACACACACACACACACACTAGAATGACATGGAAACAAATTACCCACATGACCCTGCGTGCATCCATCTATTCTGTTGATATCATTCTTGTGGGGGTTTACAAGGTGTCATTTAGTTTTTTTGTTCTGACCTGAGCTCAGCCCAGTTGCATTGAGTCCGAGAGAAGTCTCGTAGGCTCAAAGTGGGATACACAGACATCTTCATGTCGACCAACGAGGCTAGTGCTCTGTAATATCCTATTTGGTCTGAGGTTATGAACGACTAGATGTTCCATTTTCCCTACATTTCCATTGCAT